TGTTCGAGGACGATGAGACATTCAACATTGGAAACTTGAGTGCAACGGCCCTGCACCTCCCGGGTCATACTCCGGACCACCTTGGGTACAAGATCGGAGGTGAGTGTTGTCCCACATTCAGCCATGCGATCATATTTTTTCTACTACGCATTCATCTAACTAACGTTTATGTATTCAAGATAATGTATTCTGCGGCGACTCCATCTTCCACGCAGACATTGGCACCGCACGCTGCGACTTTCCCGGCGGCAGCGCCAGGGATCTCTTCCAATCGGGCCGGAGGCTGCTCTCCTTACCAGACCACGTCAAGATCTGGACCGGCCACGACTATCCGCCCGCGGGGCGCGATGCTCCCGTGCCTTGGATGACGGTCGAGCAGCACCGGCAACGCAATAAGCACTTGAAGGACGGCACCACCGAGGAGGACTTTGTGGCCATGCGGAACGAACGGGACGCGGGGCTGGCGGCGCCCAGGCTGATACACCAGTCCCTGCAGATGAATATCCGGGCTGGCAACCTTCCCAAGCCGACGGATGCTGGACTGCGATTGTTGCACCTCCCACTAAAGCCGAAGAGCGTGGAGTGGTGATTTGGACGGGCTGGCGGATGCCGACTCTGAGTTTCCTTTTCGATTTAGCATTATTCCTGTACCTGTATTTGCGGTCGCGGTGGAAAAGAGCACCTAATGACTTCAACCAGTCCTGAATTCATTTCCCTCCGTGGCATGACTTTCACATACTCGATTAAATTCCAGTTCTGGTTCGGTATTGTTACCCGTATGTATTCTCATACGTGACGGGCCCCCCTGTCATCCTCGACAGCGGACAAGAGCCCTACCATTAATTCGACTAGCGCGTAAATGGCAGACAATGCGATCCTGGCTTCTGATGCTCAAATTCCGAACATCCGCGAGAAGTCGCCTAAAATTCTGTTTTCCCACATCCAAGGGCAGGCCTACAGATGCGGGCCTACAAGAAACGAATTCTGTAGTAGAAAACCCCAATGCAGCGATGTGGAGTTGGGTACAATTGACCCGGACACTCTCTTACCTTTGGTTTTACATTGGTGAATCCGAACATCAAAACTTGCTCATTCTTATCTATCCGTATTTGGACGCCGCAAAAGTGGATGTGGTGTGGTGTGGCTGCACGACGATGTCCCACGTACGCGGATAAGTTGGGGGAGTGACTGTACGGTACAACACAGGGAGGGGCAAGACCTGGTACAGGTACAAGCACAAGTACCAGTACAGAGTGAATGGTGGCCTTGATCAATACCATAACAGCAGTGATGTTTTAGTCCCCGAGTCTCCACCAGAAAAGTCGATGTGCTCGTAGTTCGCACGTACCTAGTCGCGCTGGTCCCCGAATGAGTTGCAACCTCCGTCACGGCTGTCGGGAGCAAGGGCGTTGTGTTGTTTCAGGCTTCGTCGACGGGTCCCCGAACCAGAGCCAGAGCCAGAGCCAGAGCCAGAGCGAGCTCTTGCCTCAAAAGGGTATGAGATACCGAGCCCTCGAAACGTACTCGTAAACGTGCTCGTAGACCCGGATGACCGGAACAAAAGTCGCTGCCTCGTTGAATTTTCGTGCTCGCTGGCGGAAATACTTCCGTCGGTGAGCCGTGGCGGAAAGGTCCGCTTTGTCCAACAAGTAAAAGTAAGTCACTTTGATGATGTTTTGCGAAAAAGGAAAAACGATAGAATGATATCAAGTTCAGCGAGATATACGACAACGAGGCTACACGATCTGATATAGCCAACCATCTATTCATATAGTACTATTCTGCGTATTCCTGCATTGAATACCCCGTATTCCAGTTCAAGTTCGAAATGCGGCAAGACCATTGGCCAGACCGCCGTCGTTAGAGCCGCTAGTGCTCGTTAGCGCGGATCACGCCATATTTGGGACTGGGAATTGGCTGATCACCCCTTTCTGCGTGGAGCCTTGTTTGGTCTTCCAAATTGTCCGTGAACACATGTTGCTGCTGATGCGAGTGCGGGAATACGGTATGGCTGGTTCATCTGCATACATGGTGTCGATGCTGGTTAGTAAATACCTGTGAGATAGACTACTAGAAGCAAGATCTCAATGATCTCGGGAATATTTGTCTTGGGACGCTGTTCAGTAGACAAAGGCCAACGATAAGATCAAATGACCACAGAGCTGAATTCTGATTCTGATGCAAAACGAGAGACGTAAGTGTCTTCCACCTCCCACTGTCTATCCTTTCTATTACTCCCCATCCGGTGCTCGTCCCGTCACATACATATAACAAATACCGCTCCATCAGATAGCTAGGACCCTCCTCATCTTACATCCCATTCCAAACGTGACCCATCAACCGATTCGCCACATCCCTGACATAACCGCCCGTTGCGCCCATTCCGTTGTTGAGGTCGTTGACATCGACTCTGCCCGAGTTATACTCCCGTAGCGCTGCGTACCAGTTCCCTTGATGCTGGAAGCACTGCTTCAATCCATCGCCGGACTTGGTCCCCTCGGTTCCGTCTCGGACCATCTGCAAAATGCTCTGGGCGGCCTGTTGAGGATTGAACTCGGCGCCGTTGTGAGACTGCATGATCCCCGGGTTGCGGACTGTTCCATCTGGGGATACGGTGGTGTGGACGCGCACGTTCCCACCAGATTCTTGCATGATGGTGCAAAGAATCACGCGGACATCGACCTGGGATTCGCGGGCGACCGTTTCGATGGCGGTTTTGATGTTGGCAATCTCAGAGTCGGAGTCGTTGTACTTCATCAGCTTGGAGTTGCTGCTCCAGAGTGCAGAGTATGATGCCCACTGCGAAGTTGGAGGAAACTTGGAGGCAGGTCCGCTGTAGTTGGCATAGGCACCGCCTCCCTGCCCGCCACCGCTGCCGCCTGGGAGTGCTGCCGAGAACTCCTGGGCGATCATTTCCCTGTCTCCCTCGGGAAGGCTGGGACCTTTAATGACCTCGTTGATGGAGATCTCCGTGGGGATCCCAGGATTATCTGACTGAAGTTCTTTGAGAGAGACACCAAGGACACGGGCGACATCGTTGAGGCTGAACAGGAGTTCCAATGTCTTGGTTGGTAAGTTGATGTCTTGTCCGACCTCGAGGTGATCGGCGTCGACGCCTGGATTGGCAGCGAGCACGGCGTGGAGGTCGAGCTCTTGGTCGGAGGCGATGGCACTGAAAGTGTCACCTTTCTGGATCTTGTAGGATCCGATCAAGGTGCCAGCTACCTTGTAGTTTCTCTGGCTCTTGATTAGTGGTGCTTCGGTTGCCATTTTATTGTTGCTGAGAGGGTTGTTTCTGAGAGAGTTGTCCGGGGTTATGATGAAGATATGTCTTGAGCAAAGTCTGATGGATGAGGGATTGAGAATGCGAGAGAATCAGACCAGATATATATAATTCGGTGGAAACATGTAAGGACGGATATCTCTTGCCATGATCGCCTGTTGTCCTGCTTCAGCCGCACATGTGACCAAGCAAGAATCTCCCTTGACAACAGATTCCAGTCCTGTGATGTGCCATCCTCACCGGTCATTGTGGGTAGTCCGACCACGTCTGATGGGAAAGGCAGCCGAATTGGTGCAAGCGCTGTTTTTGGAATGCATTGTCCATTACGCTTTCAATGACGATGAACTCCCTCCAGTTGGACAGGCTATGTAAGTTGATAGTGTACTAGTCAGCTCGCAGTTAGGAATTGGACCTTTTCGGCGCTTGCGTGCAGGGTTTCATGTGAAAAGGAACGGTGGCATTCCCTACTGTGGGTTCCCTAAAAGGGGAGACGGATGTATGCACACCGGTCTGAGGTCACAGCCACACGCCTGAAGTCTGCATTGTTGACTATCGAAACATCAGCCCTGCGTGTGAGCATGAGCCATGAACGACACAAAAGCTCTCATTGTTGAAGTGGCTAACCACGAGGCTTTGTCCCAGCCTTGGAGCTAAACCTGTTTTGGCAACCTTCTCGAAGCCTTCTCCGTTCCATCAAGTACGTCATCGAGATTCAGCTGCAACACACCGCAGCCAATTGACCGCATCTTCTCTCATCCTGTCCACTCAGTCCCTCACACAAGGTCGGTCAGGTCCTGTGAGTCGCCGAGTATCTGTCCTCCTAACGCCTTATTCATCGCGTGGCAGTCTGATCTGGGGATTGCACTCGACCATGTGGCACCCAGTCATGGAGATACCACGGTGCTACAAGACCCGAATCGCTGTCCCACAAGCGTCGAGGGACTTTTGCTTGTCTGCATCGTCCTCTTGATTGACTACAACTGAAATTATCACAGGCGTCAGGTTCGAATTGTCCTTCTGTGGGAATAAAGGCGAGACGAAAGGGTGCGGTGAAAGACCCTGCTTCCAGCCTTGTTCGCCCTGCATCTCCGAGCTTCTCACCGACATGCAAGCGGTGCAGCAGGTGAATCAAGCTCACCCTACATGGCTTTTATTCAGCTTGTTCCACACGGTCCACAAGCACCGGTTAGCACAGCATAAGGCCTTTGGGGTTGTAAAGGCAACGTGTTTGCTGCAGGGAATCACCACCTCGCACCGATTTCCTGTGCGCAATACCAACGACGGACGATCCCAGCGAGAACGATGGGAACTATAGCCTGCTTGATGCATGAACAATACCCGCGCCTCGGCCACTAAACCACGAACCGGAGAAATGCAGTGTATGGAAACTCTCGACTTGACGAGGACATCGCTTTAGCTGCTGCATACCTGCCCCTCTGATTTGAATCTGACCAGTAGCTCATATATTCAATAGGAATTTGTTTTCGTAGTTGTCAGACATCATCCCATATCTACCACAAGCTGATCTGAACGCAAGACCTCAGTGTCTATCGACTTTGCCATGCAGGATAGCCGACGGCAAGTTGATGGAGGCAGCTTACGGGGTTCCTCATCATCAAGCGAGGCACTAAATGTCAAGAGATGATAGTATGGAAGAATGACCTTGACTTGACTACCGTATCATTGCTTCGCACCTCTAGGTCATTAAGCATTTCAATCACGATTTTCTCTTACCGCCTGTCCTTCCCTTGAAACTTCCCTCGAAGCCTGGCCTCCTGACTTTGGTTTTCTTCTGACCCTTTTCATCCTTCCTCTTGGCCAAGTTCTCGACCCTCTTCTTCTGCTTCGCGTCTTGTGCCTTTTTCACTCCTTCCAACCGATCATTCCACTCCCTCTCACTCTTCTTCTTCTGGCCCTGTTGCCTTTTCAGTGCTTTCTTGAGCAGAGACGTATTGTCCCGCACGTGTTCGCCGTGGGCACGCCGTTTAGCATTCAACCACATATCTTTTTGCTCAATTTCAAGTCGTTTCTGCTCATCCAGACCCGCCAGTCGAGCCTTTTTCGCTTCGGCGAGTTTCAGCTCCGTGGCAGTGTCACGGACGCCTTTCTTTTTGTGTTCCTCCACAACAGCTGTTGAAGAGGGCTCCAAATGGGTGCCATCCTCGAAAGTGATGCGGCCAAACGTAAAGTTGTTGGCGGAATTCGAGTTTGGAGAGGAGCCACCATTGTCCCCGATCATGGGAGACCGAGGTGACGCAAGCAGGGAGCCCGAACCACCCGGCGAGAAGTGCCTTGCAATCTCCTCATCTTGACGGCGAGCTTCTTCCTCCTTTTCTCGACGTTTTTGTTCTTTCTTAGCTGCCTTCTTGGCCTCTTCTTTCCGACGTCGTTGTTCCAACAGCTCTTGTCGGTTCTTTGGTGGGCGACCATCGCCACCGTCGGCCTTACGCTCTGCGCGAAATTGAGAGAGTGCTTCTTGTAGCCGTTCTCGGGGTGTTTTGGTTGTTGTGTCATCGCCGTGGTTGTTGATCGCCTGCACACTTGCTGGTGGTAGGGAACTCGAATGTACATGTTTGACAGTCTCGTCAATGGATGCGGGTTGGATGGACGACGTTGACGACGTGCCGGACTCATGCTGTGGGGAGAAGACCTCCTCTGGCTCCTCCTCGGAAGACGCCGTGGATGGTGACTCTGCATCAGGAGAGCTCTTTCGCTCAGTGCTCACTTGAAGATCAACCGGGATCTGGAGATTTAATTCCTTCTTCACTTCTTTCCTGAGGGCTTCCTTCTGAGGGTCATGAGGTTGTTGCGCTTCCTTCTTCTTGGCCTTTTGTCGTTCCAGCTTCTGCCTAGCCTTGTCCTTTTTCTCTTTTTTCCTTTGTCTTTTCGCGGCCCTTTCCTCCGCTTTCCTGCGTCGTTTGTCTTCTTGTGACTCGTCGACACCTTCGGGTTTGGTGGTTCCTTCTACATCTTTACCATCGGTCTTTTGTTTTTTCGGTTTTGGCGCTTGTGCGTCTTGAACAGCCTTTGGCGGCTCCACCTGGCCACCGTCGACCAGGTTTGAGTTTTCGTCAGGCTCGTCCTCTTCATCGTCTCGTTTCCGCTTCATAGCTGCGGCTGCTGCCCTCTCATCGACTATGTCCTTTGCGCTTTTCCAATTATCCGGGTCGAGTTTGGCCATTTTTGCGGCCCGCTTCTGCTCCGGAGTCTGCTTTTTTCTTTTCCATTGATCCTGGCTGGAGTGTGAGAGTGTATCTTTGAGTGTAGGACATTCTTCATAGTACGTACGCTGACATCCTCTCCATAGTAAAGTTTTGCAGGAATAAGGGACAGTAGACTGTCAAAGGACCGTGCGTGGCTCTTGAGCCGCTCCTACAACGAGATCAGTCAAATTTCCATCAGTGGCGCAGGGCGGTGAAGCATACCGCCAATTCGTCGGCCATGATAAGTCGCAGACCCCGAATATTCCCAATCCTCTTCACGGTTCCCTCACGAGCCTCTGCCTCCTCGAGGGCTGTATGTTTGATTTGCCAAATGGCTAAAGATTCTGCGCAACCTCAAAGTCCAGCGACTCGACGGGCGGAAGCCAGAAACTACGAACCGCAGGCAAAGTGAAATCTTGGCAGCACAACCAATAATTAATGGTTGAATTGCCCTCGAGTGCTTGGCACGCCCACCGAGACGGCGCGGCTTTTCAGGCGACATTACTCGCGACTGCTCACTTTTTCTTCGCCTTCACCCTTGCAGCAAGTATGTCCCGTCCCAAGATGAATTCCATAGTTGGCGACGGCTAGGAAGATCTTAACTTTAAATCCTTACGAAGGGGTCTTCACTTTCAGAGGACTCAGTTGCTGCCACAGATCCACTGCGCCACTCATGTGGCGTTTCTCCATCATCATTCGCTCGACCTTCTCTTTGCGGCTCAAGCGTCGTTAAATACTGGGAGCTCAAGTGCGACTTTTACATTGGCTCATCCTTTTTACTGACCCTCTTTCTACCTAGCACTCAGTATTGAAAGATAGAAGGCTCGAGTCTAACAGGGCGGTTCTGTGACTTATTTCAAACCAGCGTGGCCCTCGGATTGGATGCCGTCTCTCCAAATCTCTCGGATTTTCCGCAGGTCGGAGATTTCTTACACGGGGGTTGCCTTCAACGAGGAGCAAGTCGGCCTTTGGACCCGACGCAATCCTGCCTCGGTCAGACCAGGAAAACCCGGTTAAAAGTGACGCTGTTCGTGACTCGGAACGTTTCTACTGGCGTCAGACCCGCCTTGTGTACGAGGAGTTGGAGTCCAACATGTAGGTTGGCGCCAAACACCAAGCCTGGAGCACCCTGTGCGGCATCCGGGTCACCACGAGAGAGGGGGTTAAGATGTCAGCACGAGAATACAGCAGGTGAGAGAACCAGCGGCCACGAGGGTCGGATTGAGCCAAGCGTTGTTCTCTTTATACAACTTGATGACTTTGGAGTTGTTGGGCTCGTCCAAAAAGGTATGCGTCAAACCATCCTTCCCCCCGCCCTCATACATTCGGTGGTGTCTTGTCGGGACAGCGCATGGGCGACGACGACATTGAATCCTTTTCCGTGTGCAGCCTTGACCACTGCAGCCTGCTCCGCTTCCTTCGATTGCACGATACCGCTCTGTCCAATGGCTCGGCCACCCTCGTATATGAGTTTGACATAGTCCGCGCCGTCGCTGATGGCCCTGTTGATGTAAGCTGCCGCAAGCACAAGGGTACAAGACAGTCGAACATCACGCCGTGAGAGTTGACGGTATTGTTAGGGAAATTCTCCTCGACCTAGGTGGGCCACCAGCCATCGATCGTGGCCAAAAAGTGACTGCTTTTGGACATTTGGGTAATCTTTCCGCTCTTCGGCCCACTTCTTCTGTAACTGCGTGTTGGCATGGGTGTTGTGCATGCCCATGAGTGTCGTGATACCGAAGCGAAACGACTGTTCGCCCAGGCGTGGCTCGCGATACGGGTGACAGTGCGCATCGATCAGACCCGGGAGCGGTGTATGGCCTGGCTTGCAGTACACCAGCAGCCCGGCGGCGTCCACCAGGTCGGTGCCTATCTTGGAGATGATGCCATTTTCGAAATTCTCTTGGGGGGTATGAACTGAGAGGCCGGGGGTCTGGGGGAGTCGACTCCACTTTGTGCCGCATCAGGCAACACATCTTCCGAATCTTGTATGTTCTCCACACTTCGGTGCCCCACCTGCTCAAGGGCGTTTGTACACCCGAAGGAGCCCATTACGGCCACCGCCAAAACCGGGAAGAGACATCACTGCCCACGGTGAACCCGTGGACGTAGTCCAGAGGATCGTCCTCGGGCTCCGGGTTGTTCACGTCTTTCCCAATGACCACCGTCAGCTCTCCTTCGTAGTCGAGTTCTTTGGTAACGGCGTCGACAGCAATGTCTTGGTAAAGCCCGGCCAAGGTGTCTGCACCAAATGCGCATCAATATGTCGACTCCGCGGCTCGTGCACCAGAGAGTGTGCTGTTGGGGGGGGGGAGCGGGGGGGAGGACCAACGTACCGGCATACTTGGTGAAGACGACCGGGTACGATGGAATCGGCAGCTAGATCTCGGGACCTACCTCGTCAACACCATTCACGGTCCAAGATCTGGGTGGATGAAAACATGGTTCGCTTGCTACTCACCCCGGCTTCCTCTGCGTGCACTTTGTTGTTGAGTCCAACGCCAATCATGATCGGGATCGAGACCAAAGGACAGAGAACCTGGACACACAGCACTCAGGTCAGGGCACTTGTAATCCACGGTCTACCAGGCCCGAGCCCAGGCAGCAGGGCACGTGACAAGGCTGGCAGCCGGCGAAGGAGCGGGAAGGATGGATCGATTAGTATTCTAAGTCTTGAGAGCGAGACTTGGACTATACAAAGTCTGGTCTGAACTGAATATTCGGTAGAATATGTGAAATTGACCACGAAGCCAATGCTAATATTCAGGTTCGGTCTATGGAGTAGTGACTGTGATATATATTGTTGTGAGATTTCTGGAATGCATCATATCCCAGCCGGGGGGGGGGGGGGGAAACGAAGGGCAGAACCCCAGTTGCAGCGCGGCTTGACCAATCGTTTCTTAGGCGTTTTCAAAATGTTTGCTTGTTACCGTCGCTTCAGCCTTCTCCGCGACGGTGATGTCGATCTCGGCATGTTCCTCATCCTGTTTTCCCTGCAGGGCAAAGTCATACAGCTCGGCACTATCACCGAAGATGGCCGCAATGCTCTCGAGAGGCACGCCCCGAGTCTCGGGAAAGAAGACCCAGATGATGACTCCGCAGAGAAAGCCCGGGACGACGAAGCAGAGGTAGAACCTCCAACCAATGTTGGAGAAGGCCAGCGGCGCCACCTGGAGCCAGACGATGTTGGTGGCACAGAGGCCCGCCATGCCCAGTGCGATGCCCTTGGCCCGGAGATGGGTAGGGAAGATTTCGCCCAAGTACACGAATTGGCCTCCGTCGACCGTCATCTCGAACCAGAAGATGTAGAGGAAGAGCATGGAAACAGCCGCCCTCAGCGCGTCGGGGTTCGGATTCGCCAGGTCGCTGGCACTGGTGGCGTAGCTGGCGACCAGGGCGCATTCAACCGTCAGACAGGCCACGCATCCCAGAATCCCGCCCGCGATGATGGTCGGGCGTGAGACCATTTCGATGGCGAACAGGGACGCCAGGGCACCGCCGAAAGCCACGGTCATCCAGCCGACCTGATAGACCAGTTGCTTGTCCGTGTCGTAGCCGAGGCCTCGATAGAGTGTTGGACCGTAGTTGTTAATGACGAACGGGCCGGTCATTTGGATGCCCACCGTCACGAAAAGCCCCATGAACGACCTCTTCCGGTAGGTGGGTTTGGTAAACATGGCCCACCAGGAGGCTGCGAGCCCGCGATCCGCGCGGACCTGTCTCTGGATCTGCGCATACTCGACTTGGGCCTCGGTCGGGATGTGGAGTTTCTGCAAGATCCCCAGGGCTTCCTCGGATCGGTCCTGCATGATCAACCAGCGAGGCGACTCCGGGACCTTGATGATGACCAGCAAAAGAAGGATCGAAGGCAGACACTGGAAGGCGAGCGGCGCCCGCCATTGGTCGATGTGGTAGAACCCAAAGCCCACCCAGTTGGACAGAGCGAACCCGAAGATGATCATGGCTCCGTGGACGTTGACGAGGATGCCTCGAACATTCGGGGGTGCCACCTCGGTCATGAGCACCGGCACGGCCGACACAATCCAATACGCCGCCAGTCCAGCCATGAACCGGGAGAAGATGAACATGCCGACGTGGACACTGCCGGCCAGGAGCGCGCCTGAAACCACATTGATGATGGAGGGGATGGCGATGCCGGCTCGTCTCCCCCATCTGTCGGCAACCCACGACACGCAGAAGGTCCCAAAGAACCCTCCAGCCTGGTACAGGGAATTCATGAGGCCGATGATGTCCGTGGCGTCGGAGCGCGTGTCGAGGTCAAAGTATTTCTGGAACGACGGCTGGCCCAGAGTCTGCGATATGACGCCCGCAGAGTAGCCGTAACTGATGGAGCCAAAGCCCATGGCGAGGATCATGATGATGTTGTAGAACTGAAATTGCCGACCACCGACATGGTGGGCAACTGAAGGTGCCTCTATCACGGCCGCCATCGCTCGCCCTGAAGACTCGTGTGACGGGGCGGTTCAACACGTCGTGGGGAATTGACCAAGATGTTACAAGGCAAAGAGTGAGCAGAGATTTGATCAAAAGTCCAAGCACTTGTTTGTCGTGAGGTCAATCCCCTTTTTAAGCCTTTTGCGGGAATGCGGGAGCTTCCCTCATTGCCAGACTGGAGAAACCCTGGGGTTGTTGCGGGTTTGCCGGTTTGCCGGGGGCGGGCGGGGAGGATAGAAAAGCCAAAAACGCAGCATCTTTGACAACTGGGGGGAGGATTGCGGAGGAAGGGCACAGGGATCTGGAACAATGGCCTCAGTGATTGCATTCTTTGCCTATATCCAAGGTTCTACGGACTATGACGAGCCGACCTCTACCACAATCTTCCCAATTGCCGACTGGGCATGGAGAGCCTGGAATGCTTGCTTGGCCTCCTCCCACTTGTACACCGCCGCCACGGGTGGCCGGAGCTGGTGCTCTTCGTAAAGCTCGGCCATCTTCTGCGCCATGTCGTTCCGAACCTGGAAGATGGCACGCATGGTCTTTGCCCCGAACAGCAATGGAGGGATAATATCGGTAGGCTTGCTGTCGGACAGGAACCCAATGACGGACACGAGTCCACCATGTTTGGCCGACAGAAGGGATTGCTCAATTGTCCCGGCACCGGCCACATCTAGAACGTGGTCGACACCCTTGCCGTCGGTCACACGGAGAACCTCCTCTGACCATACGGGGTGCTTGTTGTAGTTGATCAGATGTGTGGCGCCCAGGGCCTTGGCCGTCTTCAGCTTCTCGTCCGATGAAGACGTGGCGACCACTGTGGCTCCGGCGGCGGCGGCAATCTGGATCGCACACGCGCTGACTCCACCCGTCCCTTGAGTCAGGACCGTCATGCCCGGGCGAAAGGGCTCGGGTCCGTAGAAAAGGGCGTTGACTGCAGTGCCGGCAGCGGCAGGCAAGGCGGCCATTTCTGCAAACGTGAGATGTGCCGGAGCCCGAATCAGTCGGTTATCGTCCTTGCGAAGTAGGATCAGTATCTACATCACGGCATCATCAAGCACAAGATTGGGGAGTGCCGCGTTTTTTGAACCTACCACAACCGCGTACTCTCGCAGTGTGCCTTGAATTGCCCCTGCCCCGAGGCCCTGGGACTCGACCAATGTAGGAACATGGCCATCGATCCAGCGCATGGCAGTGAGCAGGACGCGATCTCCAGGCTTCCAGGTGCTTCCCGGCCCAACCTCCTCGACGACTCCGGCACCGTCGGCACAAGGAGTCAGATACGGTTCTGTTTTGATGGGGTAGATGAGATCGTGTGAAATCACCATCATATCTCGTGCATTGAGCGCCGCGGCCTTGATCCGCACTAGAGCTGTGCCTGGCTCCGGTCGCGGCTTGGGAAGATCATGGACCAGACGCAGATTCTCAATGCCGTCGGTGGTTCGCCAGTCTTTGGGCTCTGATGGAGCTATTTGCCAGGCCGAAGGCATGGTGGTGGCAGTCCGCAAGTTATGTGTGCTATTCCGACGAGACTGGCCAGGTCTATGGCCCAGGTCAAGTTTATAGCCAATCTCGTCATGAAGAAGCTTAGAAATCAAGGGTGTTGTGGCAAGTTGTCAGAAATTGTCAGGAATCCGTGGCACTGAGTTTGAATCTTCCATCAGTCTTCAGCGTCTCGTCCCCGCCCGATGGAGGAGCAAATGTGGATATCCCCGGCAACCCCGGCATCTCCGGCAATAAACGGCAATGGCTGGGTTTAAAGCCCTCCGTCTTTCTTTTCTCGCTGTTCAGTTTTGGCTATTCGGGTCACCATCCTACGCCATGCGGCAATACATCGAGCGCCACGCGAAACTGGAGTTGATGCATGATCATGTCACTTCACAGCCATCCTCCAGGGATCGAGAACAGGAAGCGCAATAAGCGTGCCACGGTGGTGTGCACTCGCTGTCACGATAAGAAAGTGCGTCCACTCCCGCAAACTGTTGGTTGTGCCCGTGGTTAATTGTTAGAATCCAGATCAGATGTGACCTGCAGGTAGTTCCCGGACAACTCCAAGAACGATGTTCAGGTTGTGTTGAAGCATTTGCCGAATGCCGGTGAGCAGCTGCCTGCGATGTCCCCTGGTTGCGACTGGCTAAGACTGACTTGTCCCAACCCACAGCTATCGGCCCTCACAGCGAGGCACTGTCCGAAGACGCGATCGCAAAGCAGCCCCAACACACGTAACAGACTCAGTCGACCCAGTCTTGCCCCCAGGAGACAGGCCTAACGTGCTGCCTCCAAGCACCTCTGGTCCTTCCCCAGCCTTGGACAGCAGGAATGGAGGCCGAGTCAATCATGCACAGGCCGACATTGACGCGTGGTCGAGCGCCATCCATGACCAGCCAAGCCAGACGAGCCATTCACGTGAACCGGTTGCAGAGCCCATTGTGGATGGTCGCAATCCCAGCCAGGCAATTGTGACACCTGGACAGTTGAGTCTATCGTCGCAAGGAAACAGCCACCGTGCGGCGTACCTTGGAGAAAGCGGGTATATGTCCATCTTCAGGCACGAATTGGCCGAAGACGACGCCGAAGACTCTCAGGAGAATGCCGCGGATCTACAGTCGACTCACCTGATGCCCGTGTTACAAGAGAGCTATCTTGACACGTATTTCGAGTACTGCCACACCTGGTGTCCGATTTTGGACCGGGAAACCATGCAAACCTGCCTAGAGTTTTCAGAGTCGCAACTGTTGCGAGAGGCATTGGCTGTTCTCGGCAGTCAGCTCAGTCCTCCATTAATCCGGCACCCCAAACCTATCCAACACTTCCAGCGGTTTCGGAAGCTGTTTTATGACAACAACGAGAGCCAACCCTTGGTCAGGATATGCGCTGTGATGTTGTTGTATTGGTGGAGTTCAGGACCCCCAAACGTCGTGAGTATCGACACCAATTGGTGGTGGATGGGGGCGTCTATCAGGCTGGCCCAGGAAATCGGGCTCCATCGAGAACAGAACACAGAACATGTCTTGAGGCCCGGAGAGACCAACGGGCTAAGAAGACGAATATGGT